ATGGTGAACTGACTTTTCGCAAGCACACCAAAACCATTCAATGGGAGAAAATGCAGTCTTTTTAACAAATGATGTTGGGGAAAACTGGATAGGATATCCACATGCAAAAGAATGAAGTTGGACCCTTACCTGGCATCATATACAAAAATTAGCTAAAATGGATCAAAGTCCTAAAACTATAAAACTCTTGGAAGAAAGCATAAAGGGAAATCTTCACAATATTGAATTTAATAATGATTTCTTGGATATGACACCAAAAGTACAGACAACAACAAAAAAGTAGATAAATTGCATTTTTTCAGAATTAAGAACTTGGTGTATCAAAGGATACTATCAACAGTGAGAAGGGACCCAACAGTAATGCATTGGTATAACACAACACTGTTAGGCAAACTCTTATGGGAAGGTTGCCAGTTCATGTCAGCACACCTCCTTGAATATGCCATGATCCAGGCTCGCTGAAACTGGAGGTGGAACATGGCATCAAGATCCTGTCAGAAGTGCTATATGTCTGTTTCTCTCACTTGTACTCATGGCATAAATAAATTTGGAAGAGAGACAAAGTTCCCACTTAAAGAGGGAGGGAGGGGGGAGAGAGGGAGAGGGAGAGGGAGGGAGAGAGGGAGAGGGAGAGAGAGAGACAGACAGACAGACAGACAGACAGACAGCCAGTCCAAGGGAATAGGAGAAAATATTTGCAAAGCATATGTATTTTTGATAGGGCTTAGTATTCAGAATACATGAAAAACTATATAACTCAATAATGACAAGAAGTAAAATCCAACTATTCAAGTTAACAAATGAGCACAGAACTTGAATAGATATTTCCACAAAGATGATATGCAAATGGTCAGTTAACACATAAAATTGTTCTCAACATCACTACCAGTAAGAACATGCAAGTCAAGACCACAATAATAATAATACTCCTTAGACAGCTATTATTATTTTTTTTTAGTTTTTTATTTCCAGAGGGCACGTGTGCTCACTAAGGTGTATGTGTGTGTGGGGGGAAGCACCTCCCCAAATGGGCCATGGTCACGCCATACTCCTTTTGCTTTCATTTCTCCATTCCATCAGGATTTTGAGTATATGCACACACAGGCACCTCACATGTTTTTCAAGTTGCCAAGGCTGGGATTTAAACCAGGGTCAGTAATGTGGGATTCAGATCCCTATGCACAGCACATAATCACTGTGCTACAGGGAAAGCCCCCACTATTGTTCTTAATGGGGTATGTGGATAGATTGGAACCCTTTGTATTGTCGGTGGGAATCTAAACTGGTATAGGAAAAGAGTTTGATCATTCCTCAAACAGCTAAATAAGGACTTACCATATGATCCAGCAATTCCACTTCTAAGTGTATACACAAGAGAGTTGCAAGCAGGGACTCAAATAGATATATATTTTTAAATTTTATTTATTTATTATTATTCTTGAACCACAGTTGGCCATGTGGGAGTCCAGCGCCTTAACTACCACACCACCTGCCGGGCCCTCAAATAGATATTTTGACACCCATAGCCATAGAAGCATTATTCACAGTAAATGAAAGTTGTAAACAACCCAATGTCCATCAACAAATGAATGGATTGAAAAACCATGGTATATTCCTACAATGGAATGTTATTTGGGCCCAGCAGATGGGATAGTGGTTACATTGCTGGACTCTCACATGGCCAACTGTGGTTCAAGTCCCAGACTGAGTAGCTTGAAAATCACACCTGGCACATGTGTGTGTCTCCTCCCCAGGAGGAGAAAGGAGGAGAAGGCATTGCAGCATGGCTACCCCCCCCCCCCAGGGTGATTTCTCACTTTCCTTTTAAATGTCTCTTTCTCTCTAGAGAGCACACGCCCTAAGGCAAAAACCTCTTAAAATAAAAAAGGAATGGAATTCAGATAAATGCTACAACATGAAAACTTGAGAACACTATGTTAACTGAATGAAGCTAGACACTAAAGGGCAAACACTGCATGATTTCACTTACATGAGGCACCTATATTAGGCAAATTCATAGAGATAGAAAATAGAAGGTACTGTGACCAGCAGTTAGCGTAATGGCTATGTTGCTGAACTCCCATGTAGCCCACCATGGTTTGAGTCCTGGACCTGGTGGCTTAAACTCACACTAGGCGTGTGTGCGTGCATGCCCAAGATCCCAAGAGGAGAATGAAGGAAAAGGGATTGCGGCATGGCTATCCCCCGTGGGGGGTGATTTCTCACTTTCTGTCTCTCTGTCTCTCCCTGTCTTTCTGGAGAGCGCACGTGCCCTATAGCAAAAACCTCTCCCCACTCCCCCCCCCAAAAGCCAAACAAACAAACAAAAAAAGAAAATAGAAGGTATCAGGGACTGAGGGGAGTGAGTATGGGGAATAACTGAACATTAAATTATTCAGGAAAGATCTGAGTATATAGATGTACATAATATTGACAAATATTGACAGACATGGGTTTATTTTAAGTACTGGTTCTGCCATTTACTAAGTGTGTGATATGGGTCATGTTAATTAACATTTGAAAATCTCAATTTACTAATCTAAAAAAAAATAAGCAGGGTCATAGTTATACAAAACAAAACTTATAGGGCAGGACCAGCAGTTGGCGTAATGGCTATTTTGCTGGACTCCCATGTAGTTGACTGCAGCTCAAATCTCAGACTTGGTAGTTTAAACTCATGCTGGGCACGTGTGTATGTGTGTGCCCAAGATCCCAAGAGAATGGAGGAGAAGGGATTGCATTCTGGCCATCCCCTCCCCCCGGGGGGTGATTTCTCACTCTCTCTCTCTCTGTCTCTGTCTCTGTCTCTCAGGCAAGTGCATGCGCCCTATAGCAAAAACCTCTCCAAAAAAAAAAATACTTACTGGTCTACTACTGTAAATGAGATCACGTACACAAAACACTCAGCAAGGAGTCTAGCACATAATAAGTGCTCAATGAATGTTAGCTATTATTAACCTTAGAATAGCTCCTGCTACTTTACTCCATTAATTTCTATTGAAGCCACATATACATGTATGTAATTTCTATAATGATGAAATGAATTGAGGTCATGTTTGGGGAGGGGGAAGAGTGCTTCACAGAGGAACAAGTGCCAACAAACTTATTGGAAAGAAATAGCAACATGACAGAACAGAAATCAACAATATAGTGGTATGAACCTGAAAATACGATAGTATGGGAGCCAGCAGGTGGCATGATGGTGAAGGGTGCTGAACTCCTGCATGGCTGACAATGATTTGAGTCCTGGACCTGGTGGCTTGCTTTCTCACTTTTTCTCTCTCTCTCTCCATCTCTGATCAAATTAAAACAAATCAATGAAGTTAAACAAAATAATTCTTTTAAAAAATACAATAGTGTATATATATATATATATATATATATATATATGAGTTTCGCATCTGTACATATATGAGTTTCGCATCTGTACATCATGTTTAACTTCATGGATAGTACTTTCCTACTAAGAAAAACAACAACTCATCATTACTTTTTCCACTTTTTCTTTGCTTTTTCCTTAAGAAGAAGCCAGAAATCTGGCAATCAGAGAAAAATTACACATGTGTATGACTAACTAGACTGTACATTTTCTTTTTTTGGAGAGGTTTTTGCTATAGGACATGTATGCTCGCCAGAAAGAGAAAGACAGAGAGACAGAAAGTGAGAAATCACCCCCCAGGGGGGATGGCCACGCTGCAATCCCTTCTCCTCCATTCTCCTCTCAGGGTCCTGGGCACGGATGCACATGTGCTCGGCGTGAGTTTAAGCCGCCGGGTCCAGGACTCAAACTGCAGTCGACTACATGGGAGTCCAGTGACAGCCATTACGCTAACTGCTGGTCCCAACTGTGTATTTTCTTAAGGGGAATTTTTGGCTCCTTTCCATGAAACACAGCATATTGTAAGTATTTAATACATGTGTCGAATCAAGTCTAGCACATTCAGTTCTCAACCAACATTTGTCCGATGATTGAACCTGTTAGTGAGCAGTTGCTTGCTGAGCTCTCCTCCTCCATACACAGGGATGTAAGAGCATTGTTTTCTTTTATCTAAGAGTTACAACTGCTTTTAGAAAATGTCTTGAGCAGCTTGCAATGTTATTTACTGCACAAGTTGAAAAATAATTAGGGAATTAAGAGGGAACACAGCTAAGAGAAAGGTCAACAATATGCCAATAAGGTTCATTAGAGGTGGGTAGCAAATTGAGCTCTGAGCTTCCTAGCAGCTGTCACAAAGAAAGTTGATTATATATTTCATTGTCCATAGGATGCAAAACAATTACTTGGTTATTTCAGTTACCCAAAATAGAACTTAAAAATTTTTCATCAAAGGATTCCTTTTTCGGATTTAATGAATACCTTCAAGAATATTCTAAAGTACATGTGAAAGTAGTTTAATTGGTCTATTTTGTGTTATAACCCTCATGTAGCCCTATGACCTAAAACCCAAATGAAGATCAGTAGATCTTTTTTTTTCTTTTTGTAGAGTTTTTTTGCTCTAGGGCACATGCATTCGCCAGAAAGACAGAGAGAGACAGAGACAGGAAGCAAGAAATCACCCCCCAGGGGGGGAACCAGCAGTTAGCGTAATGGCTATGTCGCTGGACTCCCACATAGTCGACCGTGGTTCGTGTCCCGGACCCAGTGGCTTAAAACTCACGCCGGGCGCGTGTGCGTGCGTGCCCAAGATCCCGAGAGGAGAATGGAGGAGAAGGGATTGCGGCGTGACCATCCCCCCTGGGGGGTGATTTCTCGCTTTCTGTCTCTATGTCTCTCTCTGTCTGTCTGGCGAGCGCACGCGCCCTACAGTGAAAATCTCTCCAAAAAAAAGGAGTTCAGCGACATAGCCATTATGCTAACTGCTGGTCCCAAGATCAGTAGATCTTTATATGGATTTCAAAAGGGAACAAAACAAGTTTGTCTAAATCTGAAGCTCTAATAATCTACCGTGATTGAGTAGGAAGAAACAATGTGTATCCAGATGAAATGAGTGCACAACAATTTTCTGAAAATACTCCTTATAACTAAGTTTAGGTGTTAGACAATACAGACTCATGGCTACGGTCTTTAATGTGCACCTGGAATGTCTCTAAATAGGATCCATTTGTCTTTAAAAAAGATACCTTCGGCATAACTTTGAGAGTTCTGGTAATTTTCAGGTCACATGACCAGGCAGGAAGCCATTTTAAGACCCCAAAGACCAGGATGATGGAGCGCCCTGAGGGACAGCTCTCCGATTCCTCAACACCAACAACTTCAACCTCAGAAGTCATGAGCCACCAACAGCCCCAAATTCCTGTTGACCATGGTGCTGAAACTACTTGTGACGGCAGCGCACACACTGCCGGCGACCAGGGCACCCTGGCACCGAGCGACCACGGCGACCACGGCGACCACGGCGACCAGGGTGAGCACACCGCTGCCGACAGCAGCACCCAAACTCCTGCCAAAACTCGGAAAAACATACCCAAGGGGAAAGGTATGTCGCTTTTTAAGTTTTTGGTTTTTCATTTTTCATAACCCCGCGCATATTCTTTGGGAAAAGCGAACTTGTAAACGTTGGTTTAAACTGTGACC